AACGTTAAAAAAAATTTTTTTTAAATAAAAAAGAAGGGGGGGATGCCTAGGTGGCTCAGTCAGTTAAGCATCTGACTTCAGCCCAGGTCATGATCCCGCACTTTGTGGGTTCAAGCCCCGCATCGGGCTCTGTGCTGACAGCTCAGAGCCTGGAGTCTGCTTCAGATTCTGTGTCTCCCTCTATTTCCGCCCCTGCTTATTTTCTCTCTGTGTCCCTGTCTATTCTCTCTCTCTCTTCTCTGAAAAATAAACATTAAAATTTTTTTAAAAACTACTTGTTTTTAGGAGATATTTAACTGTGTCAGTGGACCCAAGTCAGTTTAATAGACTGTTTATTTTCAGATCATGAACAGCATGAGGAAAAAGCAAGGTTTTCAGTCATCCTAATTGTGAGCTCTTAGAACACAATTGGCTGAACCACATGAAATTGCTATTTGGGGAGACCAAAGAGAGTTGAATGGATTCAGCTTACTTAGATTCTTTGATAAATCTGAAATATTGCCAGGTGTTTCTGCCTTGAGCCCTTTGGAGAAATGATACATCCAGGTCTGAAAAGCTGTCTGTACGGTTTGTTGAAAGCCAGTGTTACTGCCGAATTTACCTCCAGCAGTGGTTCTGTTGTCCCAGGGTGTTCCTGCCATCCTTCCGGTGTGACTCCTGCTGCGTGTCCCCCTGGTCAGGGAGCTTGCCTCTGTGACCCCAACACTGGCACATGTCCTTGTCTCCCCAACGTCACAGGCCAGACCTGTGACCGTTGTGCTGACGGATACTGGAATCTGGTCCCTGGCAGAGGATGTCAGCCATGCAACTGCGACCCCCGGACCTCTCACAGTGGCCACTGTGACCAGGCAAGACATTTGGAACTTACCAGGGTGCTGGAGTGGGAAGTGATGGGGAGACATGGTTTCCAAATTTGTAAACGATGCTTTCTTTATGGACTGTTGCTAGTTAGTGTTTTTAAACAGGATTGGCCTTCTATGGGGAGAGATGCATTTATCAAGGAATGGAAAGGACTAAAAAAGAGAATGAGGGGCTCAAGGTTAAGTTTTGCCTGCTTCAGTTTTCTCCAAACCTCTCTGTGACTGGGGAGGTTGGATTTACATGCAGTGAAATACAGACGACCTTCTCTTTTTCCCTGTATCATATGTATAATCCTAGGGAAGCTCCAAGAAATTGATCATTGGTCAGAATTATTTATCAGAATGAAAATCAACAGGTGCTTCCAGAGCCCACAGTTCCATTTTCAAAACCTGAGCTGTCGGGACGCCTGGGCAGCTCAGTCAGTTGAGCATCTGACTCTTGGCTTCAGCTCAGGTCGCGATCCCAGGGTCATGGGATCGAGCCCCGCATCAGGCTCTGTGCTGAGCCTGGAGCTTGCTTGTGATTCTCTCTCTGTCTCCCTCTGCCCCTCTACCCCACTCATGCTCTTTCTCTCTCAATTAAAAAAAAATAATAATTAAAAAAACAACTGAGCTGCCGTTCCCTACCCTTCACCAGTTGGTTTACATATGGGTAAAATAAGATGTCCTCGTTACTTACCAGACCAGCATTAATTGTTCCTGAAGAATGCAGGGTAATACACTAGGAGCAAATCCACATTGCTTAACATGCGATTAATGCTACTTAACTGCACATGTGATCTTTAGTCAATAAAACAATGAGCATACAATTTTTTTAAGTTTATTTAGTGAGACAGAGAGAGAAAGAGAGAGAGAGATCAAGCGGTGGAGGGGCAGAGAGAGAGAGAGGCAGAGAGAGAATCCCAAGCAGGTTCCACACTGTCAGCATGGAATCCAACGTGGGGCTGAAATTCACGAACCATGAGATCATGACCTGAGCTGAAATCAGAAGGCGGACGCTCAATCGACTGAGCCACCCAGGTACCCTGAGCATGTTTAAAATTAGTATGACATTGGGGCGCCTGGGTGGCTCAGTAGGTTAAGCGTCCGACTTCAGCTCAGGTCATGATCTCACGGTCTGTGAGTTCGAGCCCCGCGTCGGGCTCTGTGCTGACAGCTCAGAGCCTGGAGCCCATTTCAGATTCTGTGTCTCCCTCTCTCTGCCCCTCCCCTGTTCATGCTCTGTCTCTCTCTGTCTCAAAAACAAATAAACATTAAAAAAAATTAAAAAAAAATTAGTATGACATTATCTATTTATGGAAAAAAAAAACTATTCATGTCATGATTAGGGCTTGGGGCTTAATATATTCTTTGAGACCCTTTTCACATTAATAGAGATTGGAGGGAAGGATGAAACAGTGACAAGAAATTTAGAGTGAATCCACAATATAGGGACCAGGGTATAACTGGAATCAGAATGCCAATTTTAGAAGCTGGAGTTTTCCCAACTAACAATAATCATAATGATAACCATGGCTCATCTCCAATTTCCCCTCTGCTGTTCAACTTATTCAAAGGTCAAGTCTAATGCAAGTAAACCTTTGAAGGGTATTTCTCATACACAGACTGTGTTTTCCTTTCTCTTTTTTTTTTCTTTATCTTTCTCTCCCACCCTCCTGCTCCAACCCACACCCACACACTCACCATGCCCTTTTTTTCCTTAATAAATTGTTTATTTTAAAATAGATTTACAGAAAGGCCGTGAAGATAGTACAGAGAAGATGTACCCCACACCAGGTTTCCCCTATTTTTAACATCTTACATTAGTATGGTAGATTTACCAAAATCAGTGAACTAATATTGATACATTATCATTAACTAATGTCCATAATTTATGCAGGTTTCCTGAGTTTTATCCCTAACATCCCTTTTCTGTTTCAAGATCCCATCCAGAACATCACATAACACTTAATCGTTCATGTAGCCTCAGCTCCTCTTTGTGGTGATGATTCTCAGGCTCTCCTTATTTTTCTTGAATATAATTTATTGTCAGATTGGTTTCCAAACAACACCCAGTGCTCATCCCAACAGGTGCCCTCCTCAGTGCCCATCACCCACTTTCCCCTCTCCCCCACCCTCCATCGATGAAGCTCTCCTTAGTTTTAATGAGCTTAACAATTTTGAGGTGGATTTTCTAAAATGTCCCTCTATTCACATTTACCTGCTGTTTTTCTCGTGATTAGACTTGGATTATGGGTTTGAGGATGAGGCCCACGGAGAGAAAATGTGATGCTCGTCACATCCTATCAGGACTCGACACTGTGTGCACGCCTTATCACTGTAGACGCAAATCTCAATCACCTGGCTGAAGTAATGTTTGTCATGTTTCTCTGCTGTAAAGTTACTCTTTTTCCTCCTTTCCATACTGTGCTCTTTGGAAGAAAGTCACCATGCACTGTCTATGCTTGAGGAGTGGGGAGTTTCATACTCCTGCCTTGAGGGCAGAGTGTCTCCGTAAATTACTTGGAATTCTTCTGCACAGGAGATTTATCCATCATCCCCCCTTTCCTCATTTATTATTTTTTAATATCCATATGGAGTCATGGGTATTTATATTATACTTCAAGTTATAATCCAATACTGCTTTATTTTGCTGTTCAGGTTATTCCAGCTTTGGTCATTGGGAGCTATTTCATTTGGTTTCTGCATCCCTTTTACCCCATCATTGTTGGGTTTGGGGTTTTTTTAAGCCCTTTCTGCCTGACAAGATACTCGAAACTCATCTGATGTGTTTCCTGCCCCCATCCTAGAATCAGCCATTTCTTTTTTTTTTTTAATTTTTTTTAACGTTTTATTTATTTTTGAGACAGAGAGACAGAGCATGAATGGGGGAGGGTCAGAGACAGAGGGAGACACAGACTCTGAAATAGGCTCCAGGCTCTGAGCTGTCACCACAAGCACAGAGCCTGACGCGGGGCTCGAACTCACGGACAGCGAGATCATGACCTGAGCTGAAGTCGGCCGCTTAACCGACTGAGCTACCCAGGCGCCCCAAGAATCAGCCATTTCTTTAGGGAGTGCTGGTTCCTTTTATTGGAGAGTGGTATCTGACTACTAGGTGACCACACCTGTCTCATATCCCCCTCCACTCCTCACACCTGCAGCCAGCAATCATGAAACAAAATGGTAGCTCTCCCCATGACTTCTTGGCTTCCTAATTCAAGAGGAACTCCCAACGTTCATGACATCACTGTCTGGCATGCTTCTCAGACCTTTTAGGAAGTATATTTGCAACAGCACTCGACAAAGACCACAGTTCAGTCATGGAGGCTAAGGGAAGCTCAAGGTGAAAGTCAGATGGCATTGGTTTAACCAAAAAGTCCTCTTATGACAAGGGTATTTGGGATTGTCTGGTCCATTGGGGATTCCTTGGGGAAGGTTGCTCTTTAAATTTTTTTTAATGTTTATTTATTTTTGAGAGAGAGAGAGACAGCGTGTGAGCAGGGGAGGGCCAGAGAGAGAGGGAGACACAGAATCTGAAGCAGGCTTCAGGCTCCGAGCGGTCAGCGCAGAGCTAGACATGGGGCTCAAACCCACGTACCGCAAGGTCATGACCTGAGCCGAAGTTGAACGAAGTTGGATACATAACCAACTGAGCCCCGGAAGGTTGCTCTTTAAAATCAGGGAACACTTTTAATGGAGTATAGAAGAGACAGGTAGATATTTCGATTTCCAGCTGTTTAAACAACCACTGATAAATGTCTCTATGTCAACCAGTAAAGCATCCCTAGTGCCTTATTACAGAGACATCCAAATGCGCCATCCAATATTTTCATCAACAGTTTAGATGGAGTTGGAGAAACATGCTTCTCAAATATTATCAAATCTGCAGATATTGCAAAGTGGGATGCCAATGTGATAAAGCCAGAACAAGAGGCAAGATATCCCGACGGGCTGTCCCGTTGGCTGCAAAGAAGAAGATGAAATGTTACCAGGATAAAAGTGAAGTTTTGCAATTGGGTTTTTAAAATCCATTGCATAAATACAGGGTGGGAGTAATAGCTTGGCACCAGCTTGCATGAAAAACATCTGAGGATTTTCGCTCTGTGCTTCAGCTGAGCCAGCAGTGTGGCCAGGCTGCCAAAGAGACAATGTCCATTCAGGCTGGAGTAGTGGGAATGCCAGGCCCAAGTTCAGGGCAGCCATTATCCCACTGTCCCCTGTGCGGGTCAGGCAGCTGTAGGAACATTGCTGTTCTCCCTGAGAACCACGTTTTAAACGTTATATTGACATACGGACTGGTGTGTGTCCAAAGGAAGATGACCCGGAGAGTGGATAGAACCATTGCTATTCTGTGATGAAGGCTTGAAGGAATTATGGGTAGTCAGCCTGAAGAGAAGAAGCAAATGCAAATTGAGAGCAGCCATCTCTAGCTGGGAGAAGGGCCATAAGGAGAGGAAGTGGGAGACCGCTTGTTTTGCGCGATTCCATAAGACAGGACACCAAGTGATGGGAGCAAGTTACGAAGGAACAGATTCTGCGTCAGAAATCATCGTGTGAGAAATGTGCGAGAAATCTCACTGTGTGAGAAATCATTGTGCAACAGTTAAGAACAACCAGAAGAATGACAGGCCTCAGGGACAGTAGGCTCCCCATAACTCCTTACATTTGAGCAGAAGCTCATGGGAACTCCAAAGATGGGTAGAAGCTTGGTAGATCCAGCCGTTTTATAAATTGAGCGACTTACAGAGTTGTTTAAGCAGATTTATTTGGTCAAGAATAACCTAGGACCGTGACAATAATGATTTGCTTCTGTATTTTTCTACGGTTAATTTTCTAACCTCCTCCATTTTCAGAAAAGCTGGTCAAGGATCCAGTTGGGAGGATGCACAAAAAAATCAGACCTCTCCCCAAAACACGGTTCATAACTATCATTAAATGACTGGGGTGCCTGTGTGGCTCAGTTGGTTGAGGGTCCGACTTCGGCTCAGGTCACAATCTCACGGTTTGTGGGTTTGAGCCCCGCATCAGGCTCTGTGCTGACCGCTCGGAACCTGGAGCCTGCTTCAGATTCTGTGTCTCCCTCTCTCGCAGCCCCTCCCCCACTCGTGCTCTCTCTTTCTCTCTCTCAAAAATAAACATTAAAATATTTTTTTTAATGATTAAGCCTCAATTGCAAAAAAATGTTGTTTTGTTGAGCAAAACACGAGCCCAGTTGGGAGAAACCCCATCGCACATTCCGTAATGGAATCATGATTTGCCAGATTAATTGATGAATGTCAGTCCAGGTCCGTGGCCTCTCTGTGTTAGGAGTGAACTCCCATAACACTGTAAACGAAAAGAATGCAGACCGTTTCCCATTATGTGTTTTGTTTTCATTTACATCTGTGTATATTTCCCAGTTTGGGGCCACCTGTCCTTGAACAGCTGGAAGCAGGCGGTATATTCAGGGGCCCTGAGCCAAAACACATTAGCTCCTGATCCTTGGTATTGTCGAGGGTGGTTGCTGGCCGTGGGAACCATCATCCTTCCTCTGCCTTTGCACAGCTGTATGTTCTAAATCACTGGAGGGAAAACTGTTTTGTATTAAAATGCATTATTTTTTTTAGATCGCAAAGCTTGTCAATTCCTCACCCATGACTGTTCTCACAGCTTACAGGCCAGTGTCCGTGTAAATTAGGCTACGATGGGAAACACTGCAGTGAGTGCAAGGAAAATTATTATGGTGATCCACTGGGGCGATGCCTTCGTAAGTATGGGTAATTCTAAAAACTTGAGGACTATCAACCTGGTCCTTCCATGGGTATGCTATGAACCAGCTGAATTTTAAATGTCTTTATTTGATAGAAAATTCACAAACTTTAATCTTAGTTTTGAAAGTAATATTTTTTGTAGCCTTATAAAAAGATTTTTTTTTTCTCCTGTATTAAAACTTTGTGCTAGGGGCACCTGGGTGGCTCAGTAGGTCGAGCATCCGACTCTTGATTTCGGCTCACGTCATGATCCCAGGGTCGTGGGATCAAGCCCTGCATCGGCTCCGCACTGAGTGTGGAGCCTGCTTGAGATTCTTTTTCCCTCTGCCCCTCCCCTGCTTGTGCTCTCTTTCTCTCTCTAAAATTAAAAAAAAAAAAAAAAAAGTAAAAAAGTAAATGAAACTTTAGGCTAGATTAAATGTTAGTCTATATTAAAAGTTGAAGCCTGTATTGCAATTTTTCAGTCACTAAAACAGAACAGACCTCAGAGGTCATGACTTGTAGCCAGTTTTCTGCTATTCGGAAGCATGTTGACAAAAACAGTTTCTCGATGGAAGGACAGGAAGCCAGCAGCCTGTGCGCTTCATAGGAAGCCAGCAGAGGGGGTGTTTCCTCACCTTGGATCTCATACCTCTGGGCCTTTCACATACTCACTGATTTATTTTAAGATATGCATCGCATGCCTGTAAGTCATGACCAGTAAGGCAAGCCCCCCCCGACCCCCCGCCCCGATCTCCCGGAGTTTGTGTTCTAGTGCCCTTTGTCCCTTGTCTTAGCACTGATTGTGGGATTTAGAGCAGCACCATCCCGAGGAACTTTCTGCAGAGATGGAAATGGTCCGGTCGGCACTACCCAGCACAGGAGCCACCAGCCTGTGCGCTGGTGGGTGCTTGCAATGTGGCTGGTGCAAATGAGGGACAGAACTGCGTGTGTCATTCATTTAAATTCCAGTAGCCACCTGTGATAAGTGGCTACCATATTGGACAGAACAGATTAAAAACAATTTTTTAATGTTTATTTATTTTTGAGAGAGAACAGAGCATGAGCGGGGAAGGGGGCAGAAAGAGACGGAGACACAGAATCCGAAGCCGGCTCCAGGCTCCAAGCTGTCAGCACAGGGCCCGATGCAGGACTTGAACCCATGAGACGTGAGATCATGACCTGAGCCAAGTCGGATGCTTAACCAACTGAGCCACCCCAGGCGCCCCTGGATGGCACAGATTTAGAATATGGGTTGATTCTAGGAGGAGGGATTTTTGAATCTCTAAAGTCTGCTGTTGAAAGAAGTCAATCCAAATAAATATCGGATGTGGTGTGCTAATCACGTGCACCTCTACATAGCCACATGTGGTAACTCTTTCCTCCTTTCTTTTCCTTTATAAACATGCTTTTTTTTCTTTAGATTTATTTATTTATTTTGAGAGAGAGAGAGCAGGGGAGAGGCAGAGAGAGCGGGAGAGAAAATCCCAAGCAGGCTCCATGCTGTCAGCCCAGAGCTTGATGTGGGGCTTGATCTCACGAACATGAGATCATGCATGACCTGAGCCAAAATCAAGAGTCGGACGCTTAACCGACTGAGACACCTAGGTGCCCCTATAAATGTGCTTTTGTGACCAAAATAAATTGCCTTTTATCTCCTTGCCCCATTCAAATACGTATGCTCAGCGGTTTCCCGGTCCCACTTAGTTTTCTAAGTGTAATTGCTACATTAAAAACCAGGGAGGAATTTTGGTTCCTGGAAAATCCGTCTAAGCCTCTACCTCTGTGCCCCTCTAATATTTCAATAATCTTATTTTCTGAAAAGATTTCATCTTTTATAGAGAAAACTTTGCAAATGATCAGCTCAGGCCACAGACCCCCCTGACGCTCCTGGGGAAGGGTAGTTTATAAGAGGAACTTGGGCCTCCAGCTGGTGAAGTTGACCTAGTGTTGCCCCCGAGGGGGTTCCTGCTGAGGCCAAAGTGAACGTGCTGGACAGATGGCATCGAGTTAAGGAGCCTAGCATGTTAATCAGCTTTTATTTGTCATTGACATTTTTACTCAGGCTGTAAAATGCATTTTGTAAATTTTTAAAATTATTTTTATTTTTCCAGTGTATTTATCTATTTTTTTGAGAGACGGAGAGAGTGAGCAAGGGAGAGGCAGAGAGAGAGAGAGAATTCCAAGCAAGCTCCGTGCTGCCAGCACAGAGCCCCATGTGGGGCTCGAACTCACGAACCGTGAGATCACGAGCCGAAAACTGAGAGGCCGATGCTTGACCTACTGAGCCACCCAGGTGCCCCAAAAATGCATTTTAAAATCACTTGTTCCTTACAGTTAGGCTAATGATTCCCTGACCTTTTGGAAATTGCTGTAACTTCCATAGCTCTGTCCCTCCTCCATCCTCCGCCTTTATCAGAAACCTACTCAAATGAAGTACATGCGGCATTAGTTTTGTTTTTTGTGGGTTTTTTTTAACTAAGACAAAATTAATTTTTCCCTTTCTAAAAGGACTTTATTTTTTTGAGAGCAGTTTTAGGTTTATGCCAAAATTGAGAGGAAGGTACAGAGATTTCCCGTATGTCCCCACCACCCCTCCATGCATAGCCTTCCCCATTATCAACATCCCCAAGACAGTGACACATTTGTCACAACTGATGAAACTATAAACCATAACCACCAAAGTCCATAGTTCACTTTATGGTTCACTCTTGGTATTTTCCATCCTGTGCCTTTGGACAAATGTATAAGGATGTGTATCCCCCATTATGGTATCACATGGAATATTTTCACTGCCCTAAAAACCTCTGCCCTCCACCCGTTCTGCTCTCTCCACCCCTCTTCCCACAGCCCATGCCAACCACTCGTCTTTTTACTATCTCCATAGTTTTGCCTTTTCCAGAATGTCTGGTAATCAGCATCCTACAGTATGTAGCCTTTTCAGATTGATTTATTCCACTAGGTAATATGATGCATTTAAGGTCCCTCCGTGTCTTTTCATGGCCGGATAAGCTCGTGTCTTTTTAGCCCTGAAAAATATCCCTTACGCCATGGTTCATTTATCTACTCACCTACTGCAGGACATCTTGGTTGCTTCCAAGTTTGGGCAATTATAAACAAAGCTTCTGTAAACACCTGTCTGCAGGTTTTTGTGCAGACGTAAGTTTTCAACTCCTTTGGGTGAATCCGAACGAGCAATTTCCCCCCTTTTTTGAGAATGGACTAATTCGCCTTATAGAATGGAAAACAGCATGTGTCCACACACCCAGGCTGGGTTTTACTAAGACAGAGGGTGTTCAGGAGAATTCTAAGAGAGTCTCTGACATGCCTGAGCCACCCGTGGGGGAGTATGTGTCAACCACCAGTAGATCCATGTTACCCGAATTGGTAAAGAAGCCCGAGCATGAACCCTTGCACAGTAAAGACGGTCCCTAAGATTTTCCAGATAGAAACCACGAACTAGGGGCGCCTGGGTGGCTCAGTCGGTTAAGCATCCAACTTCAGCCCAGGTCATGGTCTCATGGCTCGTTCGAGCCCTGCATCGGGCTCTGTGCTGATGGCTCAGAGCCTGGACCCTGCTTTGGATTCTGTGTCTCCCTCTCTCTCTGCCCCTCCATAGCTCA